ATCTGACCTCTCTGGCAGTTTTTCCTTTGGGCACTCATCCTCCGTCTACGTGCCCTAAGAACCCCATCATGTTACAATCTTAACGTGGGAGCAGAACATCACAATGCTTGCCTTTACACGACAGAATGAACCCAAATGAGACTTTCTGCAGTGGAAGTGTGGGAAAGTGTCAGTTGATCTTATTGACCTTTGATGGGTGTTTAGTTTTTCTAACACCTACATTGTGATTCTTCTCTCCTTAAAACTCTCCAGCAAGCTGAAAAGCCAGTAGAAGGGAATTCTTGTTGGGAGGTCTGAATTGAGATCTTCCTTGGTCCATGTGGCCCATGAATGTGTACCGGGGCAGGCTAATGTTGTCCAATGATACTTCCCGTTTTCATCAATAAAATGTCACTTTTTTTCATGGTATGTGCATGGGAGTTAATCTAGTTTGTGGTCCTCGCTGGCTGTGGGTTGCTTGAGCCTGCTAGAAAAACAGGCATACAGGTGCTCCATGGTCATGGGGGGGGAGGGGCTCTGCTGTGGTCTGCCTGTCTGCCAGCATGCCCTGATCCCTTGGGGAACCGCCCCATGCTAATGACCGAACCTGCACAATATGTGAAGCACCTTTAAAGGGAGCATTGGCCAGGGCTGCCAGATGTCGAGGACGAATGGGAAACAGGAAGATGCCGTGGGGGGGGGGGCGGGAGGGGGGATATCCTGAGCCACAGAGAGCTGTGTGTCTGTATGCACTCCCTGTGAACAGCTCTGCTTCCCGTTCCCCTGCAGGCTGTGCAGCCCTGGGAGCGACGCTACTTCCCGCTCTCCTACAACCCCAAGACAGAGTGCGAGGACCCATCTGATCCCCAGGACCGGTTGTCGCGCTGCACCCGGCGCACATCGGGCAGCAAGTCATCCCGGGAGATGGACAGCGCCCTGCCCTTGCCCCCCCTCCCCAGCCCCAAGAGCCGGAACCCAGCGGTGGCCGCTTCCACAGCAGCAACAGCAGTTCAGCGGCCGGCACACAGATAGAGACGGACAGGAAGAAATGAGCAAAACCAACACACAGAACTAACTTGGCATTAAAGCTTCCGAAATCTGCGTTTGATATTCAAACATCCTGCCGGGAATTTTCACAGTTTTTAGTGAATTTAAGGAGTTTAGAAACTGTTTTTTGTTTGTTTGTTTGTTTGTTTTGGTTTTTTTTTGTTTCGTTTTTTTTTCCATGTTTCCTTGTCACACAGTAAGAGCACCCCAGCTTCCTCCCAGCAGAGTGAAGTCTCGGGAGGAGAGCAGCCTGCCAGACACCCTTCCGCAACTCCCCCTTAGGTGTATAACTCTAGAGCACAGGATTTAGCTGACTAGCAGACTTCGGGGATTTTTTTTCTCGAGCGAAAGGGGATTTTTCTCTTACTCTCTGCTGCCTGCTGCCTCCTCCCCGAAAAGTTTTAGTGGAGTGAAATTAGTGGTGAAAAGTGATGTCTTTGGAATGCAACCTCCCGCACTAGCTGTCTTTCCCCACGTGCAGAGCTGAGATCTGCAGTCTCTGCGCCCCCACCCTCTGTCATTTTGTTCCCTAGGTTGTAGTTCCAGGTATTACCTCCATGATTCCCCCAGGCTGCCTGCTGCATTGCACTGTATTGCCCTTCATTTCTTCCTTTCTCCACTCCTGCTTTTAGAGCAGCTGTTTGCTTCATGGAGGACAAGCCTTCCTGTCACTTGGGGAAAGGAAGGCCACTCGTTAGCTGCTTCGTGCGCAGCTCCATGTGGGAGAGTGAGATTTCGGAAGCAGCCTTGTTCCGTTCACACCTTGTGTTTGTACTGGGTGAAGGGCAGGGAAGTGGGAGTCCAACCCAGCATGTTCTGGTGCTTCAGCAGGAGCAGAGTTTATCCTTTTGCTGGGCTCTGACTGTCTGTGGCACCAGTACACGCTTTGCTGCAGGAAATGCAGTTCTGTTACCAACACTTTAATTTCTCTTCCTGGTTTTTTACCCACCACAATTAGAAAATCTCAGGCTAGGTTAGCAGCTGGCCATCAGAATGTCACTTCTGTTACTGTTACTGCTTAGAAATCGTGATGAGCTGCAGATGCCAGGAGTGTTCAGTTGGCAGGACTAGGACTCAGCAATTCACCACGTGAAATCTGTAGGCTGCAGTACATAGGCTGCTAATGTTTGTTTCGCTTAAATTGGTTTGATCTAATTAAAAAAAAAAAAGTACCTAAGAAAAAGCAAGTGTCATGTGCTGCTCGAAGTCCAGCTCAGTAGAGCCTTGGCTGCTTGCTTAGGAAAAGATCAGGACTTGTTTTTCACCACTGCTTAACTCCACTTCCACACAAATTTTGAAAACAAATGTTTAGTCAGTTTCATTTTTGAGGACTTTTTGATCTGAGGATCATAAAGTTTGACAGGTATTTTATTTTAAAATGGCCCCACCGCTGCCCCCTCCCCCTCTAGAGACTCCTGGATCCCACACACCGTTCCCATCTGTAATGTTTTCTGACCCTAGCGGTGTGGCTATTGGTCCCGTTCCTGTTGTTAGCATTGTGCCTGTCTTATGTATAATCACATCACCAAAAAAGGAAAAAAAATACAAAGGACATAATTTTTTTTTTCCATTTTGTAATCGTAAAGAAATAGTAGCTAAACTGCTTAATGGTTGGGGTTTTTTCACAATTTTCAACATTATCTAGTGTTTTTTGGTTCTGTTCTAGTTTAAAGGATTTGTCATCGTTTCTTTAAAAAAAACAAAAAAAAAAACAATGCTACCATATCCCTTTGCATAAGTGCTTTTCTATTTATAAGGTTGAAAATTCTGAATAACCCTTTTAGCATTATAAAAAAACCACAAAAAAACCACCTTGTATTTTGTAAATATTTTTCTTTTCCTGCTTTGAGCTGTGTAATGTCCTTGTTCTATAGAAACGCTTTTCTTCTGAGAAGCTGATCTTTGTTAATGTCCTGATTCTGTTTGCAAAGCACAAATGTGCTTATAAAAAAAAAAGAAAAGATTAAAAAAAATTTAAAAAATGTAGTGTGCTATGCAATGCCCCTTCTGTGACATGCCAGGGGGACAGCCAGGAATAGAATTTCTCTGAGGTGCTCTGAAGTTCTCTGTTTATTTACAGAAGTGTGTGAGCAAGTCCCACCTTCCATGTCTGCACTGGAGGGTGCACAAGTGACTTCACTGCCCGGTAACATTGCAGCCTTTCACCTCTCTACACCACAGAAATAACCAAAGGCAGCTACTACAGCAGCTCAGGTTTCATAGTGGTGGTGTCCCTCTCCTCGCCAATCCTGCACCAGAGGCAGGGACACCCAGCTTGGTTGGAGGCTCTTATTTCTAAGGTAAAATAACATGCAGCAAATGCGTGTGTGTGTGGGGGGGGGGGTTGCAGCTGCCAGCTGTTCTGGTAAAGGAGCAATCAATATAGGGCACTATTGTTTCCTTCTGCAGCACCTTTTAAACATTTGTTTCCATGTGTTTCCCACTTTTGGATCAACCCTGTCCCACCCCACATCTGTGTCCGTTGTGTGGAAGAACTTTTCCTTAGGAGGGGCCCATTTATTGGCAGTGGTGAGCTCCAGCAGCTGCAGAAAGCAATGGCCTATTATGGTCACATTGCTGTTACAATGTTCTCTCCAACCGTGTCCACAAGCTGTTTGAGCCCTATGGGTTCCTGTTTCTCTCCCCAGTAAAACCTCCTTGGCCGCTTTGTTCTGCCCCATGCTCTCCAGCAGGTGTGTTCAAGCTAAGCCTTACCTGACTGAGGCATGTGCGGAATGATTTGTCCTTCCCCGTGCCTAGTCCTGTTTTTAAATAAACATCTCAACCTAGGCGTTTGAGGCCAAACCTTGACAGCTGGAGAGGGCATGACCACTGCTATGCCTGAGTGATTTAGAGCCTAAAGTCCAATGTAGCCAGACTCTTTCAAGAGAGAACTCTACGCTGCTGATGGTGCTCCTGGGGCAGGAGGAGGATGGGTTTTATTTTAACCAGCCCTGCACAGTCACTCACCCCACTGATCCTTTGCTAATTCTTGGGGGGTGCCTACGGCAAGAGCCAGTGATGGGGGGGTTGCTGGGCACCTCCACTCATCCAAGAGCATTCCCTCACCGTTGGGGAGGGGAGAAGGGGGGGCTGTTAGAGGGCACCTTGATCCCCCCCAGTCAGCACTGCTGCCCTGTGTGGGGTTGGGGTGGTTCCCCAGGCCCTAGTTCATGTATGCCCCCATCTTGTAACAAGACTCCCTCAGGATGCCATCTATAGCTCTGGAGCCTAAATCAGCAAGTTTCTACACTAAGCACTTGCCAAAAGTTGACACAACTAAATGACTCTCTCAGGTCCACACTGACCTCTGGGAGGGGAAGAATTCCAGCTGGCTGCTTGCCCAAAATCCAACCCCAGGTTTCCCTCTGACGAAGGCTTAAAAAAATTCCCAACCGCTTGTGGGCAGTCCCAGGGCACAGGAAAACATTCCTTCAAAACCCCAAAGCTGTGACTAGCACAGCCCACAGCTGCCTAGCTAAGGGAAGGTGGCTGTGAGACCAAGACTCCAAATCCCATGAGACCTCAAGCCTGGGGTGGCTGGAAATCTCACAGGACCTTTTTGCTCTCCCATCATAAAACCCTTGCTGGGCTCCGAGCCCTGAAAGGTTAACTGAAGCCTTGCTCCTAAGAGACAGAACATGCACCTTTGTCATTGGCAAGTGCTTGGTTCTCACCTAGGCACATGGCCTACCGCTCTAAAGCTTCTCTTCGGGTAGGTGCATGTGAACCATACTTCAAGTATGTGCTGCTGTGCCCGTTGTATGGGGTGGCGGAAGATTTGGCACAGTCTGGAAAAAAGTTTAGGCTTTTGCATGACCCCGTTCAGAGGGAACGTTTGACTACACTGCAGCTCTGCCCAAAGTGTATGTACAGTAGTAACTGTCCAGAGTTCCAGCAGTGTTTCCACAGGGGTTGACCAGACCCAGCCTTTCCATCCCCTCCCACGCACGCAGAACCACCAAGGCAGCATGTTATTGTAGTAATGACTTTATTTCCAAATTCACTTTTACAGCAACAATCAGTGTAAACCAGTTGTTAAAACACACACTACACTATGGACAGTCACAAACGGGAAGCTAAGCTAGGATGATCATACAGAGATTAAGCCCTCCTACCCCCTCCCCCCAAAATTAAAAAGGGAATCACAGGATTGCGAATACCAGAATTGTCGTTTTGCCACTTCAAATTCCTGGAAGGAGCATTTTTTGGAGTTCAGAAATACGGTTCTATAGTGCCAGTTTTAACCCTTTTCAGACCAAAGGAACAAGTACATCAACGGACCGTCCCTTAGCAGTAAATCTCAGGCCCTGGCTTAAGGCCCAGGTAGGTGACATCTATAAAATGACGGTGTTCTATGGGCTGGGAGGTCAGGCTTGGGCTCTTGGGGAATGGAGGGTTAGGGTGGGAACTGGGACTAGCTACTTTTCTAGAAGAGGAGTGTCTGGGTACTGCAAAGGAAGGCTGGGACCCAGCTGGCGAGGGTAAAGACAGCTGCCAGCAGAGTGGGGGGCTGGAAAGGGCAGGGAGAGAAGCTCTAGACAGCAATGACTGCAGGATTCTGACAGGACCAAGTTGAAACATCTGGGAAGGGGGTTGAGTCTGCAGATTTCTGTAAGCTCACAACAAATGACATTCAGGCCGGGTTCATAAAAACCTAAAACCCCCCATTCCTAAACTCCAGCTATTTACATTCTAAAATAACTGGGTGCTGCCTGGGCCAGGGGACTGCAGCGAGCCACAGTCATTTTGGCCACACTGTACTCCGTGAAATTTGGCTAAGGAGAGTTTGAGATTCACGGCACTGCAGGTGCCCAGTCTTCAGTAGCAGCAGAAAAGGGTTAAAATGGTTCTCCCAGTTGCTCATTTACATAGGACAGAAATCTCCTAGGGTTCCTATCATCCCACAATGATACAAAGATAATCACAGACTTTACAGGGTCTTACAATCATAGAGTCCAGTTAAGTGGAACTATTGACAGTGACTGCAGGCTGTCGTGTGACTCTTGCCATCCTCAGCAAGCATTAGGGCTGCGTCTCCACCGCGTGACCAGGGCGACCGCTGTGGAAAGAAGTGCGAGCCAATCGGCTGACTTGCTTGCCCTAACTCCCCAGCTAGCATCTCCCTTTCAAAGCTGGGCCAGTGCCACAGGCAACCTCCACCTGCCGCCTCTTGGTTCCTGAAGGACTGATGGGAATGAGCACCGGAGTGCTGCACCCGAGAGAAACCAGACCAGCTCAGGGGCTAGAAACTCCAACCTCCTTTGCCCAGCAGCCAGCGGGAATGCAGTTAAACCCCCCCTGGGAGCTGCCTTAAGATTAGCTCATACACCAGAACCAAGACTCCTGTCGCCGTTGTTTCGGTACAAGAGCAGCAGGCTGCTCCGTTCGGGCTGGGCCAAATCCTGCTGCTACCGCGGGTTGGCTTGATGCTGGTAGAGGGCAGGCTAAGGAGGAGGAGGTTTTAGAGGCTAACTCAGGGCAGTTTCTGCTCATCATACAGGCGGTAAGGTTGCAACAAGCACGGCTACTGGCATACACTCTAGCCAGCACTAGCCCTGTGCCTCTCAAACAGAGCGCCCGATTGCAACAGCCCAGATCGAAGGGGCGGTTGCTGGCACCTTGCAGTTCACACGGGGCTACTCCCACTGGCAAAGGGCTGTTTGATGCAGGTCTACCCAGTAAAATAGCAGGCACCCGACCAGGGCCGGGCTGGTTGAAGTCCTGCCCCCGAGCACGGCAGTGGGCCTACACAGGCACCTTGCTGGGTACACGGGGGAACCGGGCCAGTGCATCCCCAGCTCCCTAATACTGACTTTTTAATGCCCTCTCCTCCTCGCAATTAGCGTCACCTAATGCACAGGTAGCCCCGCCCTCGAGGCAGGCAATGGGGGAAGGAAAGGCGGCTCCGGAGCACTTCTCAGAGCAGGTGCAGCAGTATCTAGGGGAAGGGCTGGCAAGCGGCAGCCAAGGCCAGTGACCTCATGCTTGTTCTGACTAGGTTGCCCTAGCAACAAAAGCAGCAAGAGACATATTGTCTTGTTTTAACCTTCATTTGCACTCAGGGTTGTGTAAACCAGTGGCTAAAACAAAGGGTTAGAATGGTGCAAACCCAAAGCATCGAACGCTTGAGTTCAGGGCGGCAGCGCCCAGCTCTTTGAAGGGCAGTTTTCCTTTAAGGACCGAGCTTCTGGGCCAGGCGCTGTGGCCACGGGAGAAGAGGAGCGGGTGCAAAGGTGGCAGCAGGGCCATTAGCAGCTCACCTACTGTTCCGTAATTGACACTTGAAAGCCCCAAGAAGTCACCCAACTTCCTGGCATTTTCTTTTCCAATTACAATTCCTAATTCAGCCTCTCGCAAGGGAAGACGCCCCCCTGGTATCAACGAGGCAGCTCAAGTTCCTGGGACTCCATTTAATCCAGAGCTAGAATTCAGGCAGCTGGGGTGTGATTGTGGCCCTCTGACGCACAGCCCCCAAGCCAGGTGCATGGACATGACGTCCCAGACCCTCGCCCCCCATGTCTAGAGTGGCTCTCTTGGGGAGGTCAGAGGCGAGGGCATGAGTGGTCGGGTAAGCTAGCACAGACCTCAGAGAAGCTGGGCCTGTCTTCTGCACAGGGTGTTAACGGTGGAGCCGCAGGACATGACTAACACACCACTTCCAAACATTAAAGCTTCTTACGCCCCTGGCGAGTCAGCCATGTGACCATGGGGGCTGTGATCAAAGACCATTAGTCAATGGCACAGAAGTGAGCCTTGTTCCCAGTCTCACGGCAGACACTGCACAGGGTGGGACCGAGCAGCTGGAGTTTCAGAACAAGGAACAGAGCTGCCCTCTGGTTCTCCCACCCACGGGTCAATGGATAACGGAGGAAATGGTGCTCCTGTGAAATCAAAGGTTTTACTGGTTTGACCCCCAGGCTCCCCAAATTCTAATCCCAGCTCAATGATTCAGTGACGCTTTGGGCCAATCGCTCCTCCCAGCCTGCCTCCCTTTCCCCATCTGCAAAGGAGGGCAGTACAGGCGTGTCAGGGACTGCAAATGCTTGTGTGATTCGAAAATCCACTGACCAGCCTGCTGGAGATCACCGGGAGGCGTTCAGGGGGTGGAACAAGAGGAGATCCGCTCTGCCTCTTTTTCAAAGTTTAACGTCCATTAAAATGCTGCCAGGATCTATAGCACCCATGGGTTCAATTGTGATCCAGAGAAAAGTGACCAGCAGGCCTGCAGAACTCCTATCGCCACTACCGGTCCCCTCAGGTGCTAACAGCAGCACTTGGCCTTGGGGAAGGGTTTCCTGGGCAGTGGCTATGGAATAACCTATAGGAAGCCGGGGCAGACTCATCACCTGGGGCATCTAATGAAGATTGGAAAAAGGCTCAGAGGACACCTCGTACGGCCCAGTCCTGCACAGGACGAAGGGTTGGGCTCAGTGACAACCTCCACTTATCTAGCAGGACAATTTCACCAGCGCAGCAGTGCGATGAACTTCCAGTCTTCTCTCTCGTCTGCAGGCCAAATTCCCAGAAAACACACACAGCTCATGGGGGCCAGACCCCTCCAGCTTCTGGAAACACATTTCCCATCATACCGGGTCAATGCTGACCCAGTTCAGTTCTACTGCATTTGTCTCTGGCCTTAGCCAGATTTGCTCTCACCCTTTGCTGATTAAACAGACAACAGCGAGAGTCGCTTTGGCTGAATTCTAGCACAGTACTGAGCACAGGGGGCAGTTCGAAACCTACCTACTGAATTTTACAACACATGCTTTTTATAGAACAATCATCACCCTGGTGATTTCCAAGCATATACAGACAAATCCCACTATACAACACGAGGGTATGCCAAAGAAAACATCCTAGACTCATCTACTCAACAGCTCCAGCATAAAATGCACCACTCCGACAAAACTAGGGCAGCGGGGATACCCTTCAAGACCATCCCTTTGCTAGTCCCTAGTGTCATCATTACCACTGCATGGAGCCAGCGTTTGGAGCTTAAAAGATGCAGGGGCCACCTGGGGATATAAGGGGGAGGGAGGGATTTATGGGCAGGCAGTTGGGTTTGAGAAGAGGGAAGCTCAATTTCTATCTTCAGACACATCTTATCTCCTGGATGTAAAGATTTTCTTCCAAAATCGCTCGGTGAAATAGTGATGCTATTTCCATCTGTCCCTGGCTCTGTCACCCTCTATCCACTGCTCCGACCAAAGAAACGTGCCTTCAGTCTAGGCATTGTTACGCTAACAAGATGGAGAATTCAAATCCCGCAGCTCTTAGCTGTCCCACATGTGTCTAACTCAAGCGTCTCCCTTTTCTACTGGAAGATAGCACAGAACCCAGAAGTCCTCTATTAATTCAGCTCAGATCAGGGCAAGAGAACTTTCACTTTGCAACGGCTGAGGGAGCTTCTCAGAAACTGACACACAAGTTGAGAAATCTGTGTGGCCAGCCTCAGAGTATTCAAGCCCACATCAACCAGTCAGACAGACACAGACAGGCATGGCCTTAGCCTCATACCATGTGCGGAACAGAAAGGCTACAGGTACTGAGGGAGGGAAACAAATTCCAGCCATCCCCCCCATCCTTACACTAGTCCTTAGGCATTCAGATGGGTCAGCACTCTGCTGTTTCTTACAACAGGTCGCCCAACCCACTCACCCAGTGTTTAGTTGCCTTGCCGAGGGACCGCGCTCCAGGGTTGCCTGCACTCCAGACCACACAGTGCACACGCTGGCAGGCGTGGGAGTGGGATAGGAGGAAGAGGGCAGTGAACTGGATACGGGCCCAAGGCCATCAAATTAAGTAGGGTAAGAGGCCTCAGCCCAGGAGAAGAGCAGTGGTGGGAGCAGGTCTTGCCCCTAGAAGCCCGGGTTAAAGGCTGATATCCTTTTGTAAGAGAAACAGCCTGGGAGAAAAAAGTCGCCAGTTGTTGTCATTAATACGAGTTAAAAGAAGGAGCCCTGAAACCACGTTAGTCAAACCAGAGAGCAGGCGAGATCCTTGCCTAGACAAAGGAACCAGCTCTGGGAACAGCGAGTTTGCCATGGCTACTAGTACTACCCCCTTCGGGACGTGCCATTCGCTCCGAGTGGAGGGAAGCTGTGGGCTCCCAGGACTTGAAAGTCAGTTTTGCTGGGTATAAGGAAGAAGGCTGGTGCCCTTTAATTAGAGAAGAGACAGTCGGATCCCGGGCCCCAGCCTGTGACCTGGAATCCAGGTAGCTACGGGGCCAAATTCCAGGGGAGAAAAGAGGTGTTTCTGTCACATCCCTCCCCAAGAAGTCCCTGGGGAAGGTGGGTGGCCTCCCATACTGTCTCTGGGTTTCTACATAGTATTAACTAGTCTGAGATTTTCATCAGACACACAAGCGGGCAAGGTAACAGCTTTACTGGACCCGCTTCCGGCGGTGGGAGAGAGACGTTTTCCAGCTACATGGAGCTCTTCCGCGGGTGCTCGCAGTTACTCAGCTGGGACACCAAGCACTTTCCCAGACCAGAGGGAAGAGCTGTGCGTAGCTCGAAAGCTCGTCTCTCTCACCAACCAACGCTGGTCCAGTAAACGCTATTACCTCACCCATCCTGGTGTCTCATATCCTGGGAACAACACTGCATACGTGAGATTTCCAAGGTGAGTGCAGTGCCCCGTGCTCCCCAGCAGGGGGTGGGCGGGTGGGTGCTGGAAAGCAACCGGGGATGTTGTCAGAGGTGGGGAGGTGCCGGTATCTTTGGCGGGCTGGGGATCAGTCTGACTGAGATGGGAACAGGCTTGTACCTTGAAGTTAATTTTAAGCAGCACCAACCTCTCCAGAAACCAAACTCCCTTTTGGGGGGGGGGGCGGTTATCAGGTTCCTTTCCACTGGGCTAAGATCGCCTGGGGAAGATGAGGGTTTATATCTAATGCTGTTACTGATTTTGAAGTCCTGGAGCCAGAGCTGAAGGGACAGTAAAAGTAGGTTAAATCGTTACCCATTTGGGGGGCAGGGGGGAGGGGGGGGAGTAGTTGTAAAAGGAACAGAGGAAGAAGGCCAGATTGATTTTTCTTTTCTTCTCTTCTCTCCGCCCACGGCCAGGCAATCACAAGCCCTGCTTGGCCAGGGAAGCAGACACTTCGTCAGCTAGCGTGGCCAGCTGGGGGGAGTCCACCATGTTGATACTGCCGGTGGAGGAGACGTTGCTAAGGCGACGGGGGGAGGCATCTCCGGAGACGGTGGGGGACTTGTAGATGATTTCGGCTCCGTGGTCAGTCTTGGCTTTGGCATTCTCGCGGAAGGTCAGCTTGTGAGACTCGATCTGCACAAAGAAAAGGCGCAGGGTGAGCCCCGACATGAGGGGGGGCGGGGGGGAGTGTCAATCAAGCCCTCGTGAGAGGCTTTGGTGAATGGTGAGTTAACGCTCTGTCCCCACCGGCCATCCCCAGGGGTGTGGCGAGGAGGAAGCGGGTGAAAGGAGGACGAGCACAGCACCTTCTGTTCCATGTTCAGCCCCATGACAGGGAGTGGGGGTGAAGCCTGAAGGAACCATTTGCCAATAACGGCCCAATGCCCTCAGGCAGATGGACCGCTAGCGGCAAAGGGTGCCTGCAGGAAAACCAGGGCAGAACCTGGCCTCACTTCAGGGGAGCAGTGACTTTCTCAAACCCCGGCCTAGCAGGGCAAAAAGGGGAGTCCCCTTGGCCGAACGCCGAGGAGGGGGCCAGAGACAACTGATCGGCAGTACAGGGACTAATGCTTTTGGCTTTTCATCTCTGCAGACCTGCTCTTATTCACCGCGTTCAGGTGACAGCAAAGTGAGCTCGGGGCTGGGGAGGGGGCAGCCTGACCCCAAGTACCCCTTTGGGAGGCTTTGTCTTGGGGCTAGCAGCAGGGGCTGCAGCAAGTTAAGGTGAATAGGCAAAAACTCAAAGGGGGAGGAAGGACCAGAACAGGGGGTCGGGACCCCTCAGGTTATAACATGGGGGGTCGCGAGCTGTCAGCCTCCACCCCAAACCGTGCTTTGCCTCCAGCATTTATAATGGTGTTAAATATATAAAAAAGTGTTTTTAATTTATAAGGGGGGTCGCACTCAGAGACTTGCTGCGTGAAAGGGGTCACCAGTACCAAAGTTTGAGAACCCCTGGACCAGAACATCACGGGGTGCTGCCCGCCAGCCCTACGGCACATTGGCTGCAGTTTGGCGGGTGGATCGGGGGGGACTAGCAGGGGCCCGCGACATATTGGCACAGCTGTGCAGGGGACGCTGTAAAAAGAACCTGCCCCCACCCAGTGTTCAGTGACTTTCGCTGGCTACATTACATGACTGTCACCCTCACTCACACACAATCCGGCTGAGCATTTACGGACAGGTTCCGGCACCGTGCCCCAGGCCAGCGTTAGCCAACCCCCCCTCTCTTGTGGACGCACATGCTCTATGGTGGAAGCTGACGAGTGGCTACTTACTGGCATCGCCATCTGGCTGCAAGTCTGGGAGCGGGCTCTCCTCGGGGATGGCGGGCTCAGTGAGCAATGCCTGAGGCCCTGCGCTTTGGGACACACCATTTTGTGCACCGCGCTCATCGTCCTTGCCCTTCTCTCTCTACAGGTGGAGAAATCAGTGGGGCGCAAAAGGCCGTCAGCAACAAAATGAACTGAATTAAAACCGACAGCAAAGAAATGGGAAGGGAGGAACAGGTCTGCAAAACGCATCGAAGGAGAGAGGGAAAATTCACTGAGCCCATAGAGAGAGAAAGAACGACAGGGCCAGGAGGTGTGGAGCTAGGCGGGAAAAGGAAAATCCCATTTGCTATGAGAAAGGAGATGCCCAGAGAGACTATCCAAAGCAGATTCATAGGGAGAAATGCAATTGGAGCCACAGGTGTAACAGCAGCACCAATGCCTGGTCTGCACTGCAAAGTTTTACCGCACCTGAACATAACTGTCAAGAATCAGCATCCTGAACCATCCTGTGGTCCTACAACATCCCGCAGTCTCTAAGGGGATGTCTACTCTGCAACCAGAGAAGTGACTGCTCACATACCAGGCTAGCTGGATTCTAGCTGGAACAGTGAAGATGTGACACATGGGCCCATAAGGCGAGGACGTACCCAGGAGTCCAGCTAGCATTTGGGTATTCCTACCCGTGCTGCCATCAGACCATGTACACATGCAGTGTAGACACACTCGCACTCACCAAACAAATGTAGACTATTTGGGGGAGTATTTAGGCTGTCTGGCTGTCTTGTCCCGTAACTTCGGAGAGTCACTCCTGTGGGGAGGACCTCTGGGACGGAAGCAGCTTCATTTTCCAAACGTCCATTTTCCCACCTCTCGTGGCCAAGTACCACTTAAAACATAGTTGATGTTCCCATCCTCTCCTAGCCTAACAGCCACGAAGGCGAGAAACCGTCACACGAAGCAGCGGGCACCCGAATTGCTCTAGCCAAGGCCCATACTGGCCAGGGCCAGGTCTAATTTCTCTAAAATGGAACCAACGGTAACTATCCCTTGAATGGAGATGCAGGTCCCGCTCGATCCTGGTCCAAGCAGCTCCTCCCTGGATTAAGAGGGCACATTGCATATTGGGATTTGGCAGCCAGTAGCTCTGGGTTAAAGGGTGAGAACGGCCACTGGACACCAGAGGGACTCTGTAGGCTACGCCAAGCCTGTACAGCGCATGTTACCCCCTTTGGTCTTTTGGGAGTAGATCGAACACTGCAAACAAACCAACAAAATTCCTGCAGCATTGAGTCTCCGAGCTCGGCTCAACTAACTCAGGCTTGTGCTACGGGGCTAAAAATAGCAGCGTCGACATTCCCGCTCGGGCTGGAGCCCGGGCTCGGGAACCCAGCCAGGGGGAAGGGTCTCAGAGCCCGGAATCCACCCGAGTGGGAATGTCTCCATTGCTATTTGGAACCCTGCGGCGCGAGCGCAAGTCAGCTGACCCGAGCTCGGAGACTCGCTGCCGAGGTTTGTTTTCTGCACTGTAGATGTACCCAGAGCTAGATGTATGTATCCAGAAGGTGTGAATTTCAGTATCGTGATCACATGACTGACTGAGGCCTGTGGCTAAATGACAATACTGCAATACACAACCACGTGGGATTAGAGAAGCCATGTAATTGTGTTGTCCATTTGCAGCTTTTGAATATCGCGTGTCCAAATAAAGCCCCGCTCCAAAGGGCAAAAGCTTCTAACTGTGGCTCAGTGACTGTACAAGGAGATCAAAAGAAATGAAAAGATGCTCGAGCTGAACAAGGAAGAGAGCGGCACAGGACAGCTCGCTGTGTAAGGGCAGTGAGAGAAGGGGAAGGAAGCCAAGTAATTCCTCCGTCAGAGAAGCTAGTGCATTTGCTGGAAGAGGCTGACAGCTAGAAAGCTTTTCAAGACATTTACAAAATGCATCCAAAACCCAAGTGCTGGAACACAGAGCTGACTGAACAGAACCTTCCCATCTCGTCAAGTTTTTGATAAAAATGCTGAACAATCTTCCCCCTACTCCTACTGCAGAGAAATCGAATACTTTGTCCCACTGTCCCCAAAGGTGACTAATGAATCCACAAAACATCACCCCCAACCCAGCATCCTTGCCTGGGTCCTGCCCAATTCATCCACCCAGTTGTGCTGTATTCGGTGTCTCATTTCAGATGCTGGTGCCATTCACTTTGCTGTGAGAACATTTCAAGTACTATCATCCAAGTCTTCAGCCATAGGCTGTGTTTAAAAACAGGACTTGAATTTTTATCTAATAAACAAAGAGCGAATTATGAAGCATCTTCAATGTATATTTGTTTTAATGAACAATTTTTTGCAGGTCTTAAAGAAAAAGGGTATCTGTGTATACACAGATCCAGATCCTTTAAAAATGCCATTTGTTATTACTGGCTATTCATGAGGTTTGATCATGATTCAACTGACTAAATCTCACTGTTCGATATGCAGCCACATGGGAGTGTGCACACACCAACGCATCACCCCTCGCGGGGAACCGGTAAAGGCAGAGCAGGGCATTCAGCACTAAGAAAATCGACACAGACAGTCCAAGCAAGTTCTCAATTCGTGTCTAAACAACGAAAATAAAAATAAATGTATAAATAAATAAAATTATAAATAAAAATAATGTATTTGCAGCAGTCACACAATGTGCTAACAGCAAAAATATTTTTTTTACACGGAACACGTTTTACAGAGCTTGTTGGCAGTGTCACACCCCGATTCGGCAGAGCACTATGCACGTGCTTAACTTTAAGCAGGAGTCGTCTCAAAACCTTTGACAGAACTAGCGCGTGCTTAAAGATAAGGCTGTACATAAGCACTTTGCCTAGTCAAGAGTTTAACTGTTCAAATCACCCCACCCCAAGTGTTAAATATTTATTCTTACCAGATTTCCTTGTGTTCTTTTAATTTAGTTTTAAATTATTACACACACACACACACACACACACACACACTTTCAGATGTCAAATACTGCGGCAGCCCTGTAGCCAAGCTGTTCAGCCCATGCTGGGAGACTGACGTTTGAGGCCACAAGAAAATATCTTCTCTCTGAAATGTCAACAAACTTGCTCTTTTCTAATTAAAGTCACGTCTTTAATAGGCTGCTTCCCTGAAATGCCAGCTTCCCAGTCCAACAGTCTGCTTCATACTTTGCAGCTGAGGCTGAAAAAACCAAGTAAGATGCAAATCCAACTATAAGCCGTAGCATCTTACAATAGGGAAGCCCGGGGCATATGCCCATTCAATTACACTGACATTTAGGGAACAGAAAAACTAGGAGATCAAATAAAAAGAAATCACTGGATCATATTGTTTTGTTTTGACAAACACCCGTCAGAGATGGTCTAGACTAGATAATACTTAGTCCTGTCATGAGTGCAGGGGACTGGACTAGATGATCGCTTGAGGTCCCTTCCAGTCCTACGATTCTATATTCATGTAATATATAATTAAATGTCTTGTTTATATTAAAATGCCTATTGGCTAAAGAACTGTGAATACAAACGCAACCCACTCCACTCCACCCCACCCTGGTAGTGAAGGCCCCAAGAGCTCAAAATGCCCCAAATACTTAGATCTGTCTTAGTCTACAAACCGGGGCTGAGCACAGAGTGTGCGAGTAATGTGTAGCTTGTTATCACAGACGCTAATAATAGTATGGGTAGGCGTGGGACTTTTAAAAGCATGCGGGAGAAGAACATCTATTGAGAGGAAGTTTCAGCCACACATGTTAGGCCAAGTTGGACTGTAGCTTGCAAGTTACCACTCACAGTTGCATTAAAGCCACACACCTCTCACGGTTTCCTCCTGATCATCCCCAAAAGGAAGTGATTGGCCAACTGTCAATTTCTGCTACGCGGTGAACATCTCGCTGTGGCAAAATGAACGCCCTGGTATTTATCTGCACAGCGCGAGAGTGATCATTTGTGTCCCACTTTCCCTGCAGGGCTGCGTTTCCCTGAGCTCGGCAGGCAGCTCTGCCGACACGCGCTGTTGCCATGCTGACAGGTCACCGGCATGAAACCGAACCCGTTACTCAGAGGCACGAATGAGTCAGACGGATGGACGGATCAGGCCCCAACACATGCTTCAGCCCTGCTGAAGTCCAGCTGACTTTAAAGTTAAGCCTGTGCTTGTATCGGAGCCTGAAACTTCCAGCGGGTGACGAGTTACACCTTTTGAAAAGCAACCTCCAAGTGGACCACAGCAGCACAGTTCCACTCAGACGTGACTGATTTCAGCTGCAGTGCAACCCTCTTTCCCCAAAATGTTGTTGTGGCTTCAAGAACGGGGATAATCAGGAGGAGCTGTGGCAGAGAACACATCCAGCATTCAGAGAAGAGGAAGCTTGTATGAAACAGGAATTGGATAAACCCGGTTGTAGCTGCTGTGTCCAGACACTGATCGGTGGTTGCCCCATACTCACTCCGACACATACACAGAGCGCATGCCCACCTGAGAGAGGACAGCACGAACGTCCGGTACAGTACAGCTTTTTACCTTTTTATTCCCTCCTCCAGGGACATGGGTGATGTTATCTAATGACCCAATTTTCGACTGCACCTTCTCTTTGAAGTCCAGTTTCTCCGATTTCACCTCCACCTGGCCACCACCTGGAAGAGAAAGAGTGGGGCTAAGTGTTGCCAGAGAATGAAACCCAGGTTTCTGGAGTCAAGCATCTATTGTGCACTCTGTCTAACAGCAGTCACATCTGGGCGCTGAGATGTGCTGATGGATGGGGGATGAGCAGAATAATGATTGTTAAATGGTACCCACACTGGCCATTCTAAGTCTCTCTTCCTCAGCTAGGGTGACCAGAAGTCCTGATTTTACAGGGACAGTCCATACATTTGGGGCTTTGTCTTAGGGCACCTATTATTCGCACCCCATATCGATTTTTCACACTTTCTATCTGGTCCCTGTATCGTCAGCCAGCCCCACCTCTCTGCTCTTTATCGCTCACACTTTGGCATGGCACGTCTAAAATCGAGGTGACAAGCTCTTCAGAGAAAGCGCTGGAAATCTCAGGCACTACAAAGTCGGACAATACCTGGTTTATGATGAATGTTGCCCAAGGAACCACATTTGGATGTCACATGGCTCAGGTCTACAGGCTTGTAAACAATTTGCACCTGTTTGTATCAAAAAGAGAAAGGGAAAGGACACCCCATTTTAGCATCACCGAGGATAAAAAAGGCACAGAATACACTGGGACCTGATTTGGATTTGAGACAAAGTGGAGTTAAACCCCCGTAAGATTAATACACTAGCAGTTACAGAAGAACTTGCCACCAGAAACTGTGAAATCATTAAAGCCCATGTGTAGCGGCCTTTCTAAAATCAACGTGTTCAGCATGCACAAGGTTATCATCCGTTCTCCACAGAAGGGGAAAAGCAAAGGCAGTTTAAAGTGCTTACGTGAGAGGAAAGAAGTGGAATGTTGTTTAATTAAGTTTCATATTCAGATCATCCAAAAAAAGATAAACTAAAGAGAAATTTAAAACAAATAAATACCTTTTCTGAAGTAAAACTTAAAGTTTATGTCCACAAAAACTGAAAGAACAGAAATGATCAATGTGCATAGAATAAGTGACTGAAATATGTGTTTCTGAAAAAATGTTGTAATGGAATTAAAGTTTTTCTTTAAAAAACACGAGTCGCAAAGCGATAATTTTTAATACACAAAACCACATTATACCATATTACTTACAATGTATTTAAAATTTTTAGCATGTCTGAATGTGTACATCTCATCATTTCACTTAAACGGTGCCATTTAAACCAACAAGTTCAAAGATTTCTCATCACATGACACTGAGCGCCTAGAATTTTTTTTTTTTTTTGGACATGCGGGTAACAGCCTTTGGAAACATTTAAACTGGTTAAACAAGACAGTAGTTTTGCAATACACACAACAGGGACAGTTAAAGTAAATCTGGGTTTGTAGTTATAAGAAAGAACACACTGAACAATCTGATGACAGATCATATTCTAGAAAGGCCTGGGATACATACAAACAAACACACACACCAGTAACAACATGAGCAGAAAACAGAAGGGAAAAAACATCCCCATATCCCTGAGAGTTACTTTAAAAGACAAATATCTGATAATAATACCATAGTGATAACAGGCCTTCCTTTATTTTGATATGGTTCTTGCATGTAGACACCAGAGCACACATTCTACATGCAAGGGAGAGTGAAATTGGAGAACGAGAATCTAGAGTTTGGCGTCACAGAGGAGGGAGCTGGGAATGGAGACAGACACTGGGAAATTGCTCTTGCAGTCCACACAAGAGGCAAGAAAAGGATGACTCAAAGAACCCGAGCAGCCGCTGCTCTCTGTATCCCCAGCTCCCCCACACATTCCAGGAAGTCTTCAACACCTTTCATTTAAATTAAGTAGGCACCAATAAAAGAATACAAGCTCGAATCAAACGTATTCGAGCTCTAGGGCCTACAGCGCCTTCCATCTTCAAAGCAGTTTACAAATAATAAATAGAAATTCTCTGCCCTTCTCTTCAACCCTTTTACAGACATTAATCAACTAACCCTCACGATCCCCCTGGAGGCAGAGAAAAGCCAAACCTATTTCA